AAAAAAAAAAAAAAAAAAAAAAAAAGGAAAAAAAAAGATGGAAAAAACTTTGCCAACATTTAAAGCGGTTGATAAATGTTTTAAAAGTAGAAGAGTGAAAAAAAAGCATAAATATATTTTTGGTCATCATTTTCATTTGCTGTGTTTCTACCTCCAACTTTTTTATTTCTCAATTTTTTTTCTAAATTTCCAGAATATGCCAGAAAAATCAAGTTGGGATTGGCAGTAAAAAGGTAAAGAAAATTGAAAAGGGTAAATGTGGGAAGGTCTGTGTAAAGGTAGGCCGAGAGTGAACAAAGCAAACATTAACCTGCATCAAGATTTGGACTAACTGAAAACTGAGCAAATATTAGCGGTTGACGAGGTGAAAAGGTAGGCTGAGCTATGTATTCAATATATGACCAACACAGCTCATTGTCGTTTGCATCTAAACCACTGTTTGCGCCTTCTGCACCGGCACTCTCTTCCCCCATTGTCCCGGGCCCATCCCATCCCCTTCTCTCCCCTCCCCTCTCGTCTCCTCCCTCCCAGCTGAATCCTCTACCTAACTATGCTACCCCGTCGTTCCTAGGCTTTTCCTGTGAATCTTATCACATTCACTATCGTCGTCCATACCGGCGGCATCTTTACCGCCATTACTGTCACTGTCAGTTACAGTCATTTCGTCATCACGGTGTACGGAAGAACAACAGCGGGGACACAATTTTTTCCGGCTGTAGAGAAGAATGCGCGATACAAGCTGCCTTGGAGTAAAAGAAACTAAAAAATGAACATTGCCGAATATTATTATAGTTTCGGAACCAGGCAAGATGTTGGCATTGTTGAACATTGTATTACGGCTTCAGCAGTGCTACATAGTGCCAAGTTCCGAAGTTAACGATTATCTGTCTGTAAAACGAAACGTACAACAAAAGTCAGTTCAACTGTTTGTTGAAGTATAGTAGAGGGAAGCAAAGAAATAGAATGAAAAATAGAAAAGTTTCTAACTGTAACTCCTTATGGCCATCTTATATACAGCTTTTCTTTGCTAAAAGTAAGTTTATATTTTACTTTAATAATATTCATTTTCCCTTGATTTTGTGTTTTTTTAAGGGGAAATTCCCAATATAAATGTTTCATTTAAGTTTTTCTTTGCTCAATTAGTCAGTATACCTGTATTTTTCACATATAGATGTTTTTCTAGCTATGACTTTATTCTGTACGCTTTTTCGTATGATTTATTCTGGCATCTTTTTTTGGTTGATTGTGTTTTTCTGTGCTTGTGTGTGTGTGTGTTTGTTGGTGTATTTGAAGCTAAATGTCTGCTTGAAGCTTTTGTACAGAAAGAATCTCTTGGTTGCTATTGTCTGCTTGGAAAAAATTTTCTTTTCTTTTTTGTCACCGCCTATACATCATTTTTTCCTTCTTCTCGTATGCTTTTTCAGAACGAGATATTAGTGTGTTTTCCTGTTTCAAGAAAAAAAATTTTCTTGTTTCCTAGATTTTTAACATGGTGGTGGTGGTGGTTAAAAAGAAATCTCTGATGTAACAAAAGGATAGTTTAAGTCGTTGATGATTTAGCTGAAATATAATGGTTTATTTTTGTTTTCTTTTTTTTTTCCTAATGAATGAATAATCACCGCCCTAATTGAAAAGGTCCCAGATTTGAGAGAATGAGAGAGAGAAGAAAAAAAAAGGAGAAAAACAAAAATAAAGATTTGGTTTGGTTAAATTTTTTTGTGTATGTCTCCGTAAGTCTTTCTCTATGTGTTTGTGTGTGTGTGTCTGTGTTGATGTGTGTATATGCGTGTGTACGTATGTGTGTATGTATGTTAAAAGTTTATATTTTATTTTGAACATGAAAATCAGAACAAAAATTCTGGCATTATAGTGTGGGAGTTTTGTTTGTACGTTATTTCGGTGTTGAGCAAATAAGCCAAAGTGAAAGGGAGTTGAAAGCTTAGCTGAGAAAAAAAAACTATATCTTTACTTCAGTTTTGAGTCGTCGTCATCATTGCGAATAAAAAAAAATTTTTTTTTTTACTTTTGGTCTCTCACTAAAGTTTTAGTTTTCAACAGCAACAACAACAAGAAAAAAAAAGAGTGAAGTAAAAGTTAAACTGGGAGGAATAGTTTTTTTTTTTTGAATAATACAAAAGTTTGAAATCGAAGAAGTAGACATCGTATTTTGATAGTGCTTTTAAGATTTTTTTTCGGAGGAGTCCTAAACGGATTTCTGTGCAACGGTGGCTGCTGTCGAGAGATACTGTAAGGTTGAATGTTCACATCTAGCCATCGACTGTGGCTCATTCTGTTTTTTTCCCTCTGTCTCTCACTGTCCTCCCCTCATTCATCCATCCATCCCTTGGTTCAGTTCATCAGTCTCCTCATTTCATTCTAGACCGATATATATATTCTTTGGATAAGTTTCTAGAACCAGCACATTTTGTGGATCAGCTAAGTACATTACTGTTTAATTTTGTTTTTTTTAATACTTGTGTTTATGTGGTTCAATTTTTTTAAAAACAAAGCATGGTTTTTGGTGATGATGCTGGGGAGACGATGGCAAAAAATCAAAAATGCTGCTGGTAGAATGCTGAACAGTACATAGAGGAATGAAATCAATAAAGTTTACATAACATTTTGTACAAGTTCATTGAAAAAAAAAAAAAAGGAAAAAAATTGTTCCAAATCTTGTGGTGAATTAAAAAGAAATATATTTTATGGATCAAAACTTACCCAAATGTGAATTTATGTCTGAACATTTTGAATTAAAAAAAAAAAATAGTTTACTTAACAAAAAAAAAACTTGCTCATTACTATGTTGTTGTCATTGTACTTCACTGACAGAATGTTTAATAGGTTGAAGAAAAAAGTAACGGATTCATAAGTTTTATTTAAGATTCAAGGATGGAACAGCTATTGATTACTATTCATAAACAGTGTCAGTTTTGCTTGTAACCGACAATCAAACATTGCTGTGCCTTATAAATAAATAACATGAATATATAAAAAAAAACTGTAGGGACTGTTGAAGAAGAAATTTTGAGCACACTGTATCGTATTTCATTGATTATACACAGTATATATATATATATATATATATATATATATATAT